ATGCAATGTAATGTAATGTAATGTAATGTTATGTAATGTAATGTAATGTATGTATGTGTGTGTGTGTGTGTATGTGTGTATGTGTGTATGTGTGTATGTGTGTATGTATGTGTGTGTATGTGTGTGTATGTGTGTATGTGTGTATGTGTTGTGTGTATGTAAGAAAGTTATCACTATGTATATATGTGTGCGTGTGTGTTTGTACTTAAATATGTACTTGCGTATGATATGGAATGCAATGTAATGTATCGTTCTGTAATGTGCGCTGTATATGTGTTTGTATGTATGTGTGTGAGTCTGTGTGTATGCCATGCATGCGTGTATGCCATGCATGCATGCCATGTATGTATGCCATGCATGTATGCCATGCATGTATGCCATGCATGTATGCCATGCATGTATGCCATGCATGTATGCCATGTATGATGCGTGTAGGAATGAGTGCAACCCTGCACGCATGTGAATGCACCCTTCAGAAGGCGGGCTAACTTGGGTTCCAGCACATCCATAGGGATTCATAATCTATGGCTGGGACATGCTGCGCAGAATGGCTTGCACTTCCATGCTGGAAGGAGGGGCCACGTGTAAGGTTATTCCATGGAGTACTTTTCGGGTTTAGGAGTGATTAGTAGCATTTGAATGGCCAGCCACCAACTCAACAGTTGCGATGTGAGCTTGTTTCTCAAAGTTTCTGGCCGTCTACAATCCATTTGTGGTTCTGGACATGAGACATGAAACTCACGAAACATTACCACCAGAGAAGCCAAGGGACACGCGAAAAACTTCCACCGCGGACCGCGGTCTTCTTGTGTCAAAAGCAGGGAGTAGACCATGTTGACGGTTCAAAAGAAACAACGCAAAGGAACCAAAGGCACAACCACTGGGAAAGGTTTCGAATCCAATCTGGGCCCGTTTCCCTCTTAAACGCCTCGCCAGGCTCCGCTTTGCCACCGGCATCTTCAATAGGCAAGGAGAAGCTCGCAGCCCTCGAGGTTTCGGTTGGAATTCTTGGGGTTTGTCATCTTTGCAGTGCCCTTGTGAGATTTGCCCAGAGATGTGTTGTTTTTTTTTTTTTTTTTGGGGGGGGCTTTTGACAGGGAGACCCTGGCTTCTCAGTTTTCGGGGCCTAGTTTGGGCTTGAAGGAGTGGCTTTGAAACGGTCTGTTGAAATGGTGTTTCTCCAGCTGACCCATACACACACCTTATTAATTAAGCCACCAAACAAAACGCCTGTTTTAGTCATGGGTTCCATGTACCAGGGTTCCATTTTGGGTACCCATTTTTCACCCACAGCCATCTCGAGACGGTCATTTGCGGAGCTTTGGCTCAAGGCAATCCATTTTGCAGAGGCAAAGACAGATTGCAGCTCTGGTCTGTTTCCACTTGTGTTGAGCTGCCGGAACCCGCTGGCCCGCCATTTTCCACGGTAACTCTTTGGCCGGGGGCGGCCGGGCCCTCAGGTAGAAGAAAAAGGCTGGTTTCGTTTGAAAAGTGGTCTGCATCTTGCGTAAGAAAAGGGGGGGGACTCGAGCCTCAACTTGGATGGGAATTGGGGGACTTGAAGCTCAAAGGGGGGACTCCCTTCTTTTTCTCATGGGACTTGTTTAAGACACCAACCTGAAAGGGTACCGAGCCTCAAAGAAGCACCAGCCCAGATGCATGCTTCTCATACCGCCGTGCTCCCCACGTCCCTAAGTTGATTTCCCTGGTGTCCCAATGAAAATGGGCGAGGCGCCTGATGACTGGAGCCCCGAGGTCATGCCAGCCCGGAAGTCTAGCACGCGGGCCAGAAAGGCAGGTGACATGTTGGGGATGGCTGAGCTTACAGCAGGCAGAGGCGGCAGTGGCACCATACCCAACCAGTGTCTGACTTTAACCCCCAAGACAAGAACCATAAGAATGACCCCGGCCGCACCACGCGAGAGTTCTCACTGTGCTGCACCGTTTCGAAGGGAGCGGCAGCCGCTCAAAGAGACCCCTCGCGCTACGAGCAGCAGTTTGTGAAGACGAAGTCCTGCTCCTTCTATGCCGCTTGGACTCTTTAATGTTTGGGCGGATGCTACACAAAAATGGGTCTTGTTTGGGCCGATGCCACACAAAACGAATCATGGGGGCGGAGGCCAAACGCTTTGGGTTGCAAGCGAGTCGCTCGATCCCGGCCACAGGCGAGGCCGCTTGATTTGGCCCCTTGAAAGGGAGAGCTTCGCAGTCCTTGGCCTGGGCCCTTTCGAGCTGGGGGTTTGGGAGCCTCCCCGTGGCCCAAAGGACCCTTAAGGAAGGCACAAGTCCTTACCCGGATTCGTTGGAGCGCAAGAGCTGAGGAGAAGGGCAAGTGTACTCGTGGTGATCAGTGCCAGTGGCTCAGGATTGACCGGAGATGCAGAATATGGTTTTGCGGGCTTGCAGAGGAATTCAGAACTTTCTCAGAAGCTCCCTCCGAGTTGGGCGACACCCGCACCAGTCACATCAAGAAATCCGAGCTGAGGCACCTTTGCGCACGGCAACTCCGAGCTCCAACAGCTTCCAGACCTCTCCAAGACGTCTCTTTGCCATGTCTTTGCGGAGCTGGGAGCCCCTTGGCCACGGAAGCTTCGAGAGGGCTGTGGATGGTTGCTCGATTCAATCTCACCTTGGAGGGATGATGGCCGGATCTACAGGTATGCCACATTGAGAACTGCTCCTTCGCGCTCCCGGGTTGCATGAGTTGAGTCAATCTGTGACAGCGCAGAGAGTTTCCTCCCATGTTGGCTTCAGCGCTTCAGGGGGCATATGTGAGAGGAGTACAAAGACTGGCACGTACGTTCAAGACTTTGCAATGGTCAATGCTCCATATGAGTTTTTTTTTTTTTGGGGGGGGCAAACTGATGGTTTTCCTTTTGGTGTTCCGGTGTTCCTTTAAAACCACAAAAAGAAGAGATTGAGGCACAGCGTGGAGGAACTGCGCGCGACCAACAAGCCGCCCGGCTGAGGCTGATGTGGTGCTCAGACTTTCAGCAATTTGTTTGAATGGGTCAGATATCCGTGTGGTTTCAGTGCGAGTCTACAATGCCATACAATCCTAGCCAACCAAGGATCTCTTCTAGCCTGTAGTCACACATATGCAATTGTTTGATCAATTGTGAGGGCTGAATGCCTTGAAGCTGCATGGCACTGGCAGATAGCACCAGTCAGCTTAGACGGTGTCAGCGCCCGCAATCCGAGATTCCAGTCTCATTTGCCATCCCTGGGTCAGTTCTGTTTTGGGAGGATGTGGTTCGCAACAGCCCCCAACCTATGAGCGCGGCCCAGGTTCTTTAAGACCTCCATGTGAGCGCTGGCTGCACTTAGTGCTCTGCTGTGTGTGGATTTCTTGGCGGGTCCCCAGCAAGGAAGGCCAGGCAGGCTTAAAAGCGTCCAAAGACAAAGCTTGTTGATGTGCATGCACTTGCCTGCCACACGTGCGCCGCAGGTGTGTTGCTTGCGCGGTGATCTCGCTTCCGCAAGCAAGCACCAGCTGTCGGAACAAGTTTCAATCGGAAAGCTGTCAACAGTGCTTCCAACCACATGAGCTTTCTGACGGCAAACAACGGAGTTTCTTTTGGCCAAGCATCACCCTGAACATGAACAGACTTGCGTGTTGAATCAGGTATCAAAGTGCATTTTATCCCATCCAGCACTGCGGTGATTGGTGGACACAGACAAGGCTCCCATCTTGGTGCAACTTCTCCATCGGCCTTCTCCAATTGTTGAGTCTTGTCCCCTCAGGATTTGAATGGCTTGGGGGTGGCTTGTACTTGCAAGAAATGTGTGATAGAACACCATTCATCTCTCTCATTCTTGTTCCACATCCTAAAGTAATTTCTAGTGGAAGTGAATATTGAGAATCAACCACATATGATATTTGTATTAGACAGCTTTTAAGTTGTAAAAATTGTAAACGCTGCGCGTTGCCCACCTCAGCCCAGCCGAGCGCGCAGCGTCTGTGGTTCGACTGCAAGCAGTAGAGCTGGTCAAGTGGCGATTCAGGAATGGACAGGTTCTGGTGTCGTTGGACCAATTGATGTCATGGGCCGAAGTTGCGCAGGAACCCCCGAGGCAAGGGCAAGGCGATGCATAGGACCAGGAGTGAGTCATGGAGCCAGGAGTCAGGGCGCTGCGGGCTGGGGCAGTGGATGTCATGGGCGGAAGTCTCGACAACCAAAGCAGGGCTGCGGTGACCAACGCGCGCGGCAGCCTTGATCGGCTGTGTTGGCGTGGGTGTTTTCAAGCGCGGATCGGTCGGAGCCGGGCATCGGCTGCTTGCGCGGGCACATTCGAGCCAGGCTGGAATCCCGTGAGCGCGGCAGTCTTGATCGGCCGTGGCGTGGGGGTTGGGCTGGGCCTTTGCCTGGGCTGGGCAAGGCTGCGGGCTGGGCTGGTCCAGGCATGGGTGCGGGGGGGTGGGGAGGGGGTGGGCCGGAGAGGGGACAAGCGAATATTATTTTTGGAAAAGTAGATCTAAGCGCCCTTGGCCCCCTTTGGGGCCGAGCGAATATACTTCTTTCCGCATCACTCCTTCCTATCGTTTGTCACATCCTTTCTCCATCCTAGCTTTTCCTGAGATTGACAACTGATGACAATTGAGGGATAAAGGGACAGAGGAAAGAGTGGGAAGGAATGACCGTCTCTCCACTCACCTTCCTTTGTCCGTCGGTGGAACTCTGGTCATCCCTTCATTCGTCTACTACAGAGGCCTTGTTTGTTGAGCAAATTTGCCGATGAATGCGACGTGGCACAAATGTACGCTCACCCTTTCCATCTGGCATGTCTTTGCTGTACTTAGTGTGCACCGCTTGCGGGTTTCCTTGAGCGTGAAAAAACAGCCGTTTTCACAATTTGCTAGGAATTCGGGGCCAACCGCCATCCCATTTGTTCCCTTTTTTGCTGGCTTTGAGCTTCAGACACACATCAGCGTTTTTGCGTATCAGGCTCCTTCGTGGCGAAACCTTCCTGGCGATCCAAGGCAAATTCTACGTGATGGGCCAATGCCGCATGGGCAAGTACTGCCGGGCGCACGGACTTGCAAGTGTACATGAGCTCTTGCCGAATGGGCTTCATGCTTTAGTCGGTTGGAACCTGTCATGATGCCGATTTTGGGGGATGAGTGTTCTCCCCCTTCTTTTGATGGAGACAGAGGCTTCAGGCCAAAGGCGCCATGTTGAACCTGGAGCGTTATGACAGATTCCTACTGTTGCGAGAGACCCGTTTGCAATGCTAGTGGACCTTGCTTGCAAGCTGGCGTGTTGGGTTTCTCTCGGATGAAGAGTGTAAATCGAATCCAAGGTGTGGAAGGAAGGTAACATGTCCAGCCAAGCATGTCTGGGGCCGAGCCGCCGAGCCGAGCATGTCGAACTGCCATGCCATTTCCCAGGTCGGCACGCCCACGATGAGTCGGAGTTGAGAGCAGAACCTACCCTGGAGGAGCTTTTCCCAATGCAGGACCGGGTGGCCAAAAGCTTGACACATCCAACTGCATACACCCCGAGCCATGAAGCAAGATAGATTCACATATGGCTGTGGTCAAAACCAATGAGACCCCATTTCGGGGGTTTTCGGTGCACCACCCATTTTAGAACCTATTTTAGTGGGGATTGAATCGGATGTTTTTCTGGGGTACGATTTGGAGTTTGACCCATGGCCATATACACACAGAATGCTCCAAGAGGAATGTGGCGTTTCCTTTACAGTCGTGTCACTGCCAAGCTGCCAAGCTGCCGGATGTTTGATGTTTGCCCCAAGGTCGATTCAGGCAGTCGGCCAGAGGCCAATTAGCCGGCCTCGGAGCAACACGTTGAGCGAGACCTGATCAGCCATTTTGCTGGTGCGATAGGTAGGGAATGACCTTCTGGGTTTTGGATTCCCCGAACGGAAACCATAAGGGATGGTTTTAAATGGGGCCATGTTTTCAGGAATTCCCTGCTCAGGACTGGATCAGCAACACTTGTTTG